AACAACAGGCGTATAATGAAACAGTTTTAAGCAGGAGAGCGACCGATCACTCTTGACTGCGGTGCGGAAGATGCAGGGCGGGACAAGGATAAAGGCAGGAAGACCAGTCGAGGAGACAGATGTGGTAACCCAGCTGAAAAGGACAGTAACCTGCACTAAAGTGATAGAGGGGCGAAAACAAAGAGAAATTTGAGAAAACTTTTGGCGAGAATCAACAGGGCTATGATAATTACTGGAAGAAGCTTTGAACTGAAAACATGCTTCAGTTTCAGACACAACATGCTAAATAACCACCGACCAAAAACTTCACCAGTAATCAGCATGCTTATATCAACATTAAAATCTAGGGCCGCCTGGGTGGCTCAGTCGGTTAAGCATCCGACTTCGGCTCAGGTCATGATCTCATGGTTTGTGGGTTGGAGCCCCACGTCAGGCTCTGTGCTGACAGCTCAGAGCCTGGAGCCTGTTTCAGAGTCTGTATCTCCCTCTCTCTCTGACCCTCCCCTGCTCATGCTGTCTCTGTCTCTGTCTCTCTCTCTCTCAGAGAAATAAATAAAACATTAAAAAAAATTTTTTTAAATAAATTCTATACTTTAGTTCATATCCAGAAGCTTACGTCAGCACTGCCTTGCTCATCTTCTGTTGAATAAATTCCTCCTAGGATTTACTACTCAGATATAAAGCTCTCTACACCAATGGTTAAGTTTTCTTGTGCACAGAACCCTTGGAAAGGGTCAAAAGCCAAAAAAATGTAACTGCACACAAAAAATGCTCATCTCTAGACCCCAAGGAACTATTGTAAGACAACACGCTTCCTTTTATGTTTTTAGCTTTAATAATTCATCACAATAATATAGACCGAAAAAGTCAAATGGCAGTGACTTTTAACAACCAGCACTGAGTTCTGATAGATACTCTTCTAAGTGTACTCACAACACTATTTTTGAGAAGTCGGTATATTTACATCACTGCCACCCTCTCCCTTCCCTCTCCTTTCAGTGTTTTTCTTTAAATAACATACTCAAACGTGTTTCTTCTCCCACTGATTTCCACTGATCTCTGCCAAGTAACTTTTTAGGACACAAATACTCTTACCTTTTCTACCCCTTGTTCCCCACCCCATTTCTTTCAGCTTCTAAATTTGTCAGTGGTACTACAAGATTGATAATTACAGAACATAATGTAAATGGCAAGTTTCCTGTGCTTTTCTATAGATGAAATATACTTCCTTTTAATCAGATGAGAAGAACGCCATACCCCGTTTCCCTTTTTGCCTTAGCAGCTAGGAATTTTAGAGGTTGAAATGATACTCAAAATAACTCAGATGCCTCTTTTTCCAAATGACTTATCTTTATCTTTAGCCATATAGTGTTTTAATGTTAGAGGCAATTTCAGATCCCTTGGAAATAAGCCGGATGAAAATTCCAAATTAAATATGTGTAAAGTACATATGTTTGAAGCTGAAAAAAAATCAAATTTTAAATAGGTTCCATCAGTAGGTACTATGTTAAGTTGTCTGATATTATTTAGGAAACTGGAAGTCTACAGCAGTTGAGGAGTTAGATGCCAGTAGACGTGTGCAAGGGAAAAGAAGCCGTCTGTGGTTTCCAGTCTCATGAAGGAACATCCCTGTACATCTTCAGTTATCTCCCACCAAGGTCACTTCTCTACCTTTTAACGTGCTTTTACTCTGTCCAGCCACTCTGGCCTCCTTGCACTTCCTGGAACTCTTGACATCACATTTCATTCAGATCTCCACTCAAATGTTACTTCTTAAGAGAGAAGTAGCCTCCACCCCTTATGACATGGCACATCCATTGATCTTTATCTCTTTTGCTGTGTTTTGTTTGTTTGGTGTTTTGTTTAGAAATAGAATGCAAGCAGGAAAAGGGGCTGAGGGGGAGAGAGAGAGAGAGAAGAAGACAGACAGAGGAAGAGGGAAAGAGGGAGGGAGAGGGAGAGAGAGAATGAGAATCTTAAGCGGGCCCCACACTCAGCGTAGAGCCCAACACAGGGCTCAATCCCACAACCTTAGGATCACACCCAGAGCCATATTCAACAGCCAGACATTCAACCAACTGAGCCACCCAAACGCCCCTCTTTTGCTGTTTCTTATTCATAACATTTGACACTGGATGTCACTGTGCATTTATTATGTCTCCCCCAACTAGAATACAAGTTCATTAAGAGCAGGGACTTTTTTCCCCCCACTGCTGTATCCCCAGTGCCTAGAACAGAGACCTGAATAAAATGGTTTAATGAAAGAAATGAGCCCACGTAATTTTTTAAAGGGGGGGGTCAATAAATTCCAAGCATCTATGACTCTTCAAGAGAGGACAGAGCACAGCACTTTCATAGAGTACTCCTGGAATGTCTGCTTAAGTGTAACTGCAAAGAGATAGGGAAACTAGTACCTGAATCTGACCTAGCCAGCAATTCAAAATTTCCAGCCCGTGCATGGGAATTAAAAGCCCTGCTTTCTGCTAAGACCCAAAGTTGTTTTTCTCCCAGAATTGTCTCCTTACCTTTGCTTCTGGCCAAAGAGCAGTTACCAAATTCTTTCTTTCCCAGACATTTCTCATGTGGACCCAGGTCATTATCCCTGACAGCGTTTCTGTTCTACACCCTTGCAGATCTTAGCTAATGAGCTGAATGATGCATGGCAGGCATTCACATTATTGCTAAGCTAATGATATAAGTGGTAGTACCCGCAACTATCTCTTGCAACTCTCCAGTTTCAAGCTCCTTATTCATCTTAGGTCTTGAAACCGCACCCCCCCCAAAGAGATACAGTGTAACAGCTTCTATTTTAAAAAATGAAAACAATCTAACCATTTTTAGGTGCCTGCAAGCTCTTTAAACGGTAATACTACTTATGAAATTTGCACACAGTAGGAATTGGTACAGCCTACGAAAAACCACCGGGGTTGAAAAACCACAGCCAAATTGACTATGAATCGCTTACTTTGGGGTTGAGATCACTTAGTTATTTCATAGCTTTGAAATCTGGTAATTTACCCACTTGCCCTTTTTCCGAAGGAAAATACTTCTTTACATAATTTTGAGCCCCCAAAAACTGTTAGGAGGGAGGAGTTGGGACCTCAAGGTCTTTACCAAACATGCTCGCTGTGGCCACTCAAGGCAAAGCAACGGAAGTTGGAGGGACTTTGCAACAGCTGCAGGAGTTTCTCTCCCCGCCTGGAGAGTGGTAGCGTGAGCGAGGCTACCCCACTCGAGCGGCGTCCGACAGCCAGCAGCCAGACGTGCGCCAGTCCCTGCCGAATCCCGAGGTCCACCTTGCTGGACCCCAGACAGCTCCCCACCTGTTCTCCCTCCTTTCCCACGCCTTGGCCCGTCAGGGGCGCAGCGCCGAGGAGCACGACGTGGACACGAGGAACCCTCTCCTAGCCCATGCTCACCCTTGGTCAGCGTGTCCAGCACCCCCGACTTCTCCAAGTACCTCCGGAACTGCTCGCGCTTCGAGTCGGCGGCCTGAGGAGACACGGCGGGTCAGTAGCCGAAGCCCAGGGGCCGGAGCAGGAAGAAGGCGCTGGGAGTCCGGCAACCCCGCCTCCGCCTCGCTACCGCAGGCCCCCAAAACCTGTGCGCGCGCCCCCACTCCCACCCGGAGCCGACCAGCGGCTGGCTACCGCCCGCACGCCCCCAGCCACGCCGCGCCCCCCTCACTTTGTAATGGGCCATAGTGACAGCGGCAGCGGCGTAGCTGGCGCCCGAGACCGTGGCTGGCGGGCTCTGAGCAGCACTGCTCATGCGCGGAAGGCCGCGCGCGCCTGCGCACTTGCGAACCACGGGCCGAGATCGCGGGGGTGTGGCCTGTTTTCATGGCGACCAGGACGCTCTGAGTGCCCCATAGTGGGCTAAGCCGAGGGAGGCTGCGTACGCCCGCCTCTCTGCTCCCAGCTCCACACCTCTCCTTCCTCTTCCGGTCCTCGCTGCAATTCGGTTGCCTAGCGAGAGGCGAGGTTTTGGCTACTCGGGACGGGTGTCCAGGTGGGGCCAAAGAAAGGCGTGGCGCCCAGGGCGGGGCCTGCGGAGTCGGGGAGCGCTGGGACTTGTAGCTGGGTGGGGTCTCCCGACAGCGGTGTGGAGCGGACCGGTCTCAACTGGGGCGTGGTGTGGTAACCTATACGTGCTGGCGTCTTGGCTTTCGTCCTGGAAAGGTGCGCACGACCGACGTAGGGCGACCCTTGGATTTCCAGTGGCTTGAGAAGAGAGCTTGTAATCGTATGTTTCGGCTCCAGCTTTTACTTTTGCAGTTTGTTTTGTGGCCGGCTTGCTGTGGACCTCTGAGGGTGAGCAGTAACGAGCTAATAATAGCACTTTTGAGCGCTTTCTGTGTGCCTGGCACTGTACTAAACACACGTTTCTTATTTTAATTCTCACACTATCCCTGTAAGGTAGCTACTGTTAGTAAAGTGTCGAGGTTAGAGGACTGGGGCGTGAGGAGATACAACTCGATCTGGGCACTGAATCACGATGTTTTAAAGCCACCAATCTTTTTAAGATTTTATTTGCTAGATAGCGACATTATGATTATACTCAAGAGACATCATATTGCCGTCTATATAAGGAAACGAAATTAACGCCCAAGGACAATTTAACCATTGTCCAGAAATAAAAGATCAGTAACTAAAGGGGAGAATTGGGTAGAACAAGGACAGTCTCCTAAGGCTGTGCTCCCGTCAAGGAAAAACGTAGTTTCAAACCATTAAGCCACGATTCTGAACGTGACATTCCCAGAATCCGTTTTCACGATTCTAAAAGGAGCCTGTGACAAAAAGTAATCCTGATTTGGTAACTGCCCTTGAATTTAAAACTGCCCCATCACCATTTAGACTTAATGAGTTTTTCCTTTTTGAAGTAGGTTTGCAATTGTCTGCCTAAACGGTTTGTCTTTAGAGCTGCTCTTGTTTTGCCTGCTCCACCACCACCAGGCTGCATCTATGAGAACATGCAGGATGTCTAGAAGCCAGCAGCCTTCAGATCTGAAGGTCTGTGGGAGCCCGCCTACCAATGAGGTTGTTTGTCAGCAGCGCTAAATGATTTGGAGGGCGAGCAGTAGGATTGTTGCAGCTTCTGATCAAATCAGATTCAAAGGACAACTGTCCCAAAGAATCAGGAGTGTCTGGAATGTCAGGTGGTTGGCAGTCTCCCTGGGAAGGAGGTAGGGTTCGGATTGTGCCCTCTCTGAACTGGCCCTTGAGGTTTCCTTTAGGAGGTGATGCCTGATTTTCACCTTCTGTAGAGGGACCCCAGGTAGCACTAAGCCATGTCTGTTTCCGGGCAGCTGTTTGAGGCTGCCCCACATGGTTGTCCAGGTCTATAACAACACCTGGACTAGAGCAGTGACCTCTAGAGTAGTGGTTCCTTTTGGTGTCTTTACCATCGATTTCTCTCTTTCCCTTTAATGCATTACCCACTTCTTTTCTAAATATTTTATGAGTGTCTTCATTATTACATGATCTGATGTGTTGAAGATGACTACAGGTAGCGCTAAGTGTGCACATCTCATTAGAAAGTGCAGTTTCTTGTTCATCCAAAATGCATTTCTCATCATTTCCACTGTGATGGTCAGGACCTGCCTGAAATGCAGGTGAATTTAAACTCGGGCACACTGCTGAGTGTGTTTGCTTTTCCATCATCAGATAATAATCAGGTGCAGAAGAGAGTCCCTTCAGTGAATTTGCAGATGTGCTCTGATATTTGGCAAGATTTTGTTTTGACTTGTTCACAAAGAATTCATTGTGCTCATCCTTCAATTTATATCGTCCCCAAAGCCCTCTTTTAATCTTCTTAAAACCTAGGTGGAAAATTTCGAGAATATTTAGGAAAAGCGAAACAGTGGCTATAGACTGCATAAATAACAGGAATATTGTCTTTTCTGTTGGTCTTGAGACAAAACAGTCAATTATATTCGGACACGGGTGGCTGTGGCATTTAAATAAAGGCTCTAAATGAAATCCATATAAAAGGTACTGTCCAATCATGAACCCCATCTCGACCACAGAGCGAGTGAGAATGTGTGTCACGTAAGTGCAAAGCAAGGTTCCCCTGAGTGGGGCTTTGCTTAGTTTTCTTTGTTCCAGCTGACAAAGTTCTTGCTCCAGTCTCCTCCTGTCCCAGGGCATTTCACACCCCACCCCCTTAAGTGCCCCTCTCAGCTGAGCTCTCTTCCTCTGCCTCTCTTTCTCCAGAACTTTCAGTCGGTACAAAGCGTGACCCATATAGACCAGGGATGGTGAAGACACAAATATCACCTGCAAAATCCAGTATCTAATGAGGGAGATGGGAAAGGCCTGGTCATAGCATACATTTCTGCAGCCAGGCTGTTCTGTATTACAGATGAAGCCAGACTGCTCGTCATTCCAGACATCTTCAGCTGCTACCCCCAGGACAAGCATTCGAAATATGAACAGTATAGTGAGCCAGATCTTTCCAATTATGGTGGAGTGGATGTGAACTTCCTCCAGGATGCCTCCAAGGAAATTCCAGTTCCCCATGCTTGTTTAGTCAGCCATCGTAGCTCTGAACCCCATCAAATAGGAGGCAGATAAATTCTTCCATCCTGAAGGACATGCTGTTTCATAAAGCAAACCTACGGCCAAAACACGAACAGAGCATCGCTCTTTTAGTGTGCTGGTTGCTTTACTTTTTTTCCCAGAGATCTCTGATAATCTTATCAAGAATGTATTTAGGATATCAGGAACTTTAAATCACTTATGTTTAGACCTCCTAATGCAACAAAGGGGAAAAATGATACCTGGAGGAATTGTATATATTCTCTATGAAGAATGGAACTGTAGATGGGCTGCCTGGCTGGCTCAGTCAGAACAGCATGCAACTCTTGATCTCGGGATTGTGAGTTCGGGCCCCACGTTGGGTGTAGAGATTACTTAAGTAAGTAAACATTTTTTAAAATATAATAATATAGAACTGTAGAATTCCCTATAAGAACGGAGTCTTGTTATGTTAGCTGAAATTTATTACTGTTTTACTTCATTAAACTGAGAACTTCTGAAGAGGTTCCTAGAACTACTGACATGATCTTAAAAGCCTACTTATTAAGATTATATAAAAATTATAACCAGGGGCGGCTGGGTGGCTCAGTCCGTTGACCGCCTGACGTCAGCTCAGGTCATGATCTCATTGTTCGTAAGTTCAAGCCCTGCATCTGAGCTGTCAGCACAGAACCTGGAGCCCACTTCAGATTCTATGTCTCCCTCTCTCTCTGCTCCTCCCTACGTCGTACTCTGTCTCTCTCTTGCTTAAAAATAAACATTAAAAATTTTTTTCTTTTAATTAAAACCAAAGTCAGTGATTTTTAACTGATTGAGCCACCCAGGCACCTCCTAAAGTCAGTGATTTTTAAGTCTCATTTATACACAAAGGAAAATGAATGTGTTTCATTTAACAATTCAGTAAAATACAGCATTTAATGAAACCAGAGGAAAAGGATCTGGCTCTTGCTATAGAAATTTAGATTTGTTTTTTAATTCACATTAAAATGTCTAACTTCTGGTTGCTTTCTGACAGCTGTGGAGCATTTTCAGAAATAAGACATTTCAGTAATATTTCTGAATATTCATAAAATTCTTAATTATGAAAAATTTTGTACATCTTATTTAAATTTTTTTAATGTTTTATTTCTGAGAGATAGAGAGAGACAGTGTGAGCAGGGGAGGGTCAGAGAGAGAGGGAGACACAGAATCTGAAACAGGCTTCAGGCTTTTAGCTAGCTGTCAGCACAGAGCCCGACGCGGGACTCAAACTCATGAACCGTGAGATCATGACCTGAGCTGAAGTCAGACGCTTAACGGACTGAGCCACCCAGGCATCCCATTGTACGTCTTTATCATCATAAAATGAACTTCAAAAATTCTCAACTATTTTTGTACTACCAGAATATTATTAGATATTTCTTGAAATAAACAGATGGCTGATGTGGTGGTCTATTATACTTTCATTTTGACAATATTTGACCTATTTAAGACCTATATCTTGCTTTTGAGGAAGGAGCAGGTGGGTAAATCATAATTCAGTTGCTTGGATTATCAGATAGTATGTTCCATACTAAGGTAGATATACTAGGGTATCAGTGAGGAAATATATCCCACAAGAAAGATTAAAAAGAGGGAATGTTTTCATCACTTACGTTTAAAATATCAGCATATGTCTACTCCGGAAACCAATATTGCACTGTATGTTAACTAATTAGAATTTAAATAACAATTTGAAAAAGAAATTAAATTGAAAAAATATATATCATTATAAGTCCTATATCCCTCATATAAGGGGAAATGTTCCATAAGCAAATAAAATCCTGGGATACTATAGCTACACTATATGTTCATCATAAAAATCTTAGGAGGGAGATATGTTGTTTCCCCATTTTACAGATGAGGAAACTGAGGCACACCTTAAATTACCCAAGGTCACACCACTGGAACTGCATTAAAACTCAGTGTAGGGGCACCTGGGTGGCTTAGTTGGTTAAGCACCCAACTTCGGCTCAGGTCATGATCTTATGGTTTGTGGGTTCGAGCCCTGCATCGGGCTCTGTGCTGACAGCTCAGAGCCTGAAGCCTGCTTCAGATTCTGTGTCTCCTTCTCTCTCTGCCCTTCCCCCTCTCGTGCTCGCTCGCTCTTGCTCTCTCTCAGAAATAAATTTTTTTTTAAATTTTTTTTTTAATGTTTTATTTATTTCTAGGAGAGAGAGAGAGAGAGACAGCGTGAGCAGGGGAGGGTCAGAGAGAGAGGGAGTGACAGACTCTGAAACAGGCTCCAGGCTCTGAGCTGGCAGTCAGCACAGAGCCCGACGCGGGGCTCGAACCCACGAACCGCGAGATCATGATCTAAGCGAAAGTCGGACGCTTAACCGACTAAGCCACCCAGGCGCCCCATAAATTTTTTTTTTTAAATCAGTGTAGCTCTAAAGTCAGCTCCTGTTCTTTTTTCTTCTTTGCACGTTTGAAATCATCTGTTTTCTCTCAAAAGTTTATTTAAATTAGGTATGTCAGAGTGAGTGATAGTTTGGGGTTTTTAAACAATTGGTTCAAAAGTCCTTAGTTCCTGGGGCACCTGGGTGGCTTAGTCGGTTGGGCGTCCAACTTCAGCTCAGGTCATGATCTCACAGTCTGTGGGTTCACGCCCCGTGTCGGGCTCTGTGCTGACAGCTTGGATCCTGGAGCCTGCTTCGCATTCTCTGTCTCCCTCTCTCTCTGCCCCTCTCCCACTAACTCTCTGGCTCAAAAATAAATAGATATTAAAAATTTTTTTTTAAAAAGTCCTTAGTTCCTTTCCTAAAAGCTAAGGTTGAAGAGATTCAAAACCATCAACTTTCTAAAATTTCATTGTATTCCTGAGATAGAGAAAATTTCTATTTCACTTCATTATGTTAATAATATTCTTTGATCCATTAATCCAAAAATACTTTCAAGTGTAAGCAATGGTATTATTGATGTTGTTTATAATAATCACAAATTGAAAATGTTCGAAATAATTTTCAATACAAGAAAGACAGTACTGCACATAATAACAGTACATCCACAATATGATACTATGCAACCAATAAAATTGACAAATATATACCAATATAAAAAGACATTTGGTAAATTGTTTCAGCTTATAAAATAGAACAGTATAACCCCATAATTATATATATTTTTTATAGGTAGAGATGCGTCCAAAAAAGCCTAGAAGGATATTCATCAAGATATTAACTATGATTATCTCTGGGTAGTGTGATTACAATTGACTTAATATTTCATAATATATGTTTTAGTTTGTTTTTTACCAGGAGCACTTTACTTTTATAATCACAAAAAAAGATATGTTTTTTTTCCTTAAGGGACAAAAAACTTAGTATTTCCTGAAAGAAGGAACAGTATGTTATTCAGCTACAAATCTTAAGTTCTGAAGTTTTCATAGCAAATGACATGAATACTAGTATACATAGATTCAGTCCCATAGAATTCAAAAGCAAAAAATAAAAACATTTCAAGCAACGCTTTCTTAATTTGCTAAAACAGAGATTAATACAAACCTGTTTACCTAAATCTGAGAAGCAAATCATGCTCGTTCTCTGAATGAGCCCCTTTGCAGATGTAGCGCGGTTCATTTCTTCACATGGAGTCAGCCATCAGGTAAAACATTTGTGCTCCTCCTTCTTCTAAGTCGGCTGCATCCAATAGAACTTTTGCAATGATGTTGAAGTTAACTCTGCATTGTCCAATAAGGTAGCCACTAGCTATGTATAGCCTCTGGGCACTTGTGCTGGGTCTGTGTTACAGGGGAATGGAATTTGTTTTTCTTACTTAATTTTAATTAAAAATGTAAAAGCTTCCTTCATGTGCCTAGCGGCTACTTTATTGGACAGGACAGATAAAGAATATTTCCAATAATTCTAATAACACAGCAGCTTAGAAGACTATGGCTATGAGTTCCAAATTAAGCTGAAGAGATGGTTCCTCTGTAATTCAGATGTTAAATTTAAAACACCAGATTTTTGTGTGCTTTTTTTTTTTTAAAACAGTAGTTTTGCCTCCTTGGGAAATTAGATATCACTGGTTTTGATTATGTGAATGATGTTGCTGGTACCAAGAAGTCTTTCTGACTAAATAATAGCTTCTTAGTCATCAATCTTAATAATCAATGGGTCATGTCCAATTTCATAGTTAAATGAATTCTGTTTCTCTATCTAGTGTTCTGTTAAAATTACATTTCCATTTAGGTCATTAAAGGTCTCTTTTCAGAGCTCGTGACCTGATAGGCTGGCCATGACAGAGGACTGTCTCTTCGGCTGGGCTTTTTTTTCGCTGGGCTTTTTTTTTTTTTTAATTTTTAAATTTTTAAGTAATCTCTACTCCCTAGCGTGGGGCTTCAACTTACAAGCCCAAGATCAAGCGTCACATGGTCTACCAACTGAGCCAACCAGGTGCCCCTTCTCTGGGCTTCTTTGCCAACTAATAAATACTTTTCAGATTAAATGCAACTATTTTATGGGGGGATAATTATACATATATATTCATATTTGTATATTGTATAGTTTATAACATATATTATGTGTCATACACAAACTATGCATAAAATATTAATAAACTTGAAAAACACTAAGCCTCATTAGGAGTCAAATACAAATTTAAATGAAGTATTTTTTTAACTATCAAAAATGCAAATTTTTTTAGACATTAGCTATTTTAGTGTTTTCTTTTAGAGATAGAATGAGAGAGAACACAAGCAGGGTCAGGGCAAAGAGAGGGAGACAGCGGATCCAAAGCAGACTCCAGGCTGACAGCAGAGAGCCCAATGCAGGGCTCAAACTCACCAACCATGACATCATGACCTGAGCAGAAGTCAGATGCTTAACCAACTGAGCCACCAGGTGCCCCAAAATGGAAATTTTCCAAAGACGTATACCTGCTCCTGGCAAAAGCGTAAGGACTGTTACTATCATATACTGTCAATAAGAATATAAATGGATGCAGCTACTTAAAAGGCAGTTTTTTGTTATTGTTTTGTTTCGTTGTTGTTGTTGTTTTAAGTAGGCTCCATGCCCAACACAGGGCTTGAACTCACGACCCTAAGTCATGATCACTGCCTGAGCTGAGTTCAGGGCGTGCCTGGGTGGCTCAGTCAGTTAAGCATCTGACTTTGGCTCAGGTCCTGATCTCCCGGATTGTGAGTTCCACCCCTGTGTTGGGCTCTGTACTTGTGGTGCAGAGCCTGCTTGGGACTCCCTCTCTCTCCCTCTCTGTCCACCCCTTCCCCACTTGTGCTCATGCTCTCTCTCTCAAAATAAATAAATAAACTTAAAACAAACAAACCAACCCTGAGCTGAGTTCAAGATCCAGACACTCAACCAACTGAGCCAAGTGCCCGAAAAATCTATTGAAATTACCATAGCATTTCTGCTTTTGGATGTTCAAAATACTCATTCAGCAAACATACTCAAAGATACACTGCATGCACCAGGAAGTTCACATAGCACTGTAGATAATAGTACAAAATCAGCAACAATTTAAGTGTCCAGTAGAGAGATGGTTAAATAACTACAGTACAACTGTATCATTCAGCAACTCAGAGAATAGGGTCTCTACTTCACATTGTAAAGCAAGTAACAGAACAATCCAGGTAGTATAATCTCATTTATCTTGCTAAAACATACATTTCATATGTATATTTAATTAGCTAAAACAGAGAGATTAACCCAGACCTTAGTTGAGGTAAATCTGAGAAGCAAATTCTTCTTAGAAGTTAGATCACAGTCCTCTTCAACTCATTCTCTGAACTTGTTCCTTTGGGGGTACAGAGCAGATTCAGTGTCGTTCAGTGATCAGGCATCAACTAAAATCCATTTCCCTTTCTGCATACCCTGGAGAGAAAAAGGTCTGTGAGAATATACACCCAGCTGTTAACAGCAGTCATCACCAAGGGAAAAGAGCAGGATTTGGGATAGGAAGGTAAAAGGGACTCTTATCGTTTTTTTTTTAATATTTTATTTATTTCTAGGAGAGAGAGAGACAGCGTGAGCAGGGGAGGGTCAGAGAGAGAGGGAGTCACAGACTGAAACAGGCTCTAGTCTCTGAGCTGGCAGTCAGCAGAGCCTGATGCTGGGCTCGAACCCACGAACTGCGAGATCATGACCCAAGCGAAAGTCGGACGCTTAACCGACTAAGCCACCCAGGCGCCCCAAGGGACTCTTATCTTTTAAGTTCCTGTTCAAATCTTTGTTGAAGCAAAAACACAGGCATATTCTCATACTCAAAAAACATGTTTTTAACAAATCTCTGATCGGTTTTTCTCAAAATGCTGAAATACTTTTCTCAGTATATCTAAGTAAGTATGGATGCTCCTTTCAGAATACAGCAACATGTTTTGATAGGTATTTATAAATAAAACACGTTGGACCAACTGGGTGGCTCAGTCGGTTAAGTGTCTGACTTTGGCACAGGTCATGATCTCGCAGTTCATGGGTTTGTGGCCCACATCGGGCTCTGTGATGACAGCTTGGAGCCTGCTTCGGATTCTGTGTGTGTGTCTCTCTCTCTCTACCCGTCTCCCACTCACCTCTCTCTCTCTCTCTCTCTCTCAAAAATAAACATTAAAGTTTTTTTTCATAAATAAATAATGAAACATGTCAGTGATGAAAGGAAAAAATGTATTCCCCGTGTTCAGATGACCCCAAACTACCATTTTGGAAAAAGAATGGCCAACAATCAGGAATGCCTTGGGTGGCTCTGTCAGTTAAGTGTCCCGACTTCAGCTCAGGTCATGATCTCACAGTTCACAAATTCAACCCCCACATTGGGCTCTGTGCTGTCAGCTCACAGCCTGGAGCCTGCTTCAGATTCTGTGTCTCCCTCTCTGTCTGCCCCTCCCCTGCTTGCTCTCTGTCTCCCTCTCTCTCAGAAATAAATAAATGTTAACAAAATTTTTTTTTAAAAATGGCCAACAATCCTATTTCTATAATAGGAAGGGAGACAGGCTTCTCAGCTTTCAGATACGACATTTTACCTTTCATAAATAAATTCTACCCACTCCCAGGAGAGCCACCAGCCATGGAAAGGATGAAAATCTTATGGATGAGAATACCAAGAGTCCAGGTACCCATTGTGCACAAGAAAGCTAGTTCTAGTTCCCTTGGGATCCTAGACACACTTCCAGAAGATTAAACTAGCAGTCCAGAACATTTTCAGCCTTCATTTATAAGGTATTTCTACCATTCATGGCGCTCTCGGTAATGTTTGTTCATATACCCCAAGATTCTCTCAACTTTAAGTATTTGGGGAACACAGCATCATTCAGATAGTAAGGGAGAAGAGTGTGGGCTTTCGAGTCATTACCAACCTTTAAATCCTGCTCCCTCTTAGACAAGTTACTTGATTTTTTTAATGAGTTTCCATATCGTCGTCTCTAGATGCAGAATAATAGCCACTTTTGTGGTTATTGAAAAGATTAGCGATAATTAGCGATAAAGCATCTCAAACAGTGATCTATCCACCCCAATGGTGATTGAAAGTAATTACCAATAGTCTGGCACAGGTATGAGAAGTTTTTATTATCAGCACAGTACAGAATTTGTGGATTCTGTCAAGCAATCTCTACAATATATCCTTCAAGGAGACCAAGTCACTTTTAAAGGGTACATACAAGGCACACCGCATGTCTGGAAAGAGCCAATCCCTGCTTTTTCTCTCCTTCCCCTTTTCTCTCTTCCCTTTCCCTCCCTCTGCATTCAGAAGCCCCTTCACTAAACCCTAACTCCTTTTGTAAACAGTCTTTGCAACCGATGACTTCAATTGTGTTTTGACCTCTTTATAAAACTCTTAGCATTTGTGAGGACTTCTCTGTCTCTTCGTAGACTTCAGATGTTTCCCAGATGGCTCTTTTCATTACTTGGTTTATATTAGAGGCAGGTCAGTTTGCTGGGGACAGGAAAATGTTGAAAAACACAGCAAATAAGACACAAGCTAAATAAGCTGCGATTGCTATCCAAAATCTTGGATCCTTCAGCAGGGCCTTATCAAAGCAGCTAAACACCGTGTAGCCTATGGACATTCCAGCGAATCCCCCTGCAATGTGGGCTGCAAAAGACACCTTGGGAGGAAAGGGCGAGAAACGGAAATAAGTGAAGAAAATGCTAATTGCATATTTTAATTGCATGTCTTTTACTAAAAAACAAGTACCCATCAGAGTCAAACAAAACCCTTAAAAGCCTGAAGAACAAGGAGGTGAGGCCAACGAGACACAAGAGACACAAAGCTCGATGTGCACAGAGAGAGATGTTCTAACACATACAATGACACTAAAACATGTCATTTCATCAACTCTCTGAGTACACAAGACAGAGCTGTTTTTCTCATTCTCTATCATCACGTTTAGGATGGTTCTACATAATGCCAAGAGGACGTTGCATGGCCACAGGGGATCTCTGTAGGAGTGTTATCCGACCCACATAAATAGAATGTCAGAACGAGAACATAGATAATACACACACACACACATATGCAAACAAACTACCAAATTCAAAGACTTATCACCACAAAACTGGAAATCTTTGTCAGTTTTCTTTGTATTGCAAATTCATCCAGATCCAAATAAATTTTCTTTGCTGTTTTCAATCTGTTTTTTATACTCTGTGCGCAGTGAAATCCCTTCTTTCCTGTTTTGCCACCAGTAGCCACCAGTAGGTAAGGCCGGTGCAGAGAAGTAGAGCCGCCATCAGGGTTCTGAGTGAGTTAAGTGAAAAGGACAATCCAAAAGCCTGATGTCCTCAAAATTTGCTTAACTTCCAAATGGAAATTTGGCTGCCCTAAATCATAGAATTGTTATCCCCGTTTGATGACCCCGTTTGATTTTAAGCTACTGATAAACAATTTTCGCTTAAAAATTAATAAACTGGTGGCGCCTGGGTGGCTCAGCCAGTTGAGCATCTGACTCCTGATTTCGGCTCAGGTCATGATCTCACGAGTTCGTGAGATGCAGCCCCAAGTCTGACTCTGCGCTGACAACACAGAGCCTGCATGGGATTCTCTCTCTCCCTTTCTCTCCACCTCTCCCCCCTCTCAAAATAAATCAACTTAAAATAATAATAATAGTAATAAACTGAACTCACCGGTGACCCATTTGCAGGGATAAAGAACCTTCTGTAGAGAGCAAATCCCATATCCAACAGAACTAGAAAGAAAAACAACCTGATGAAGCCCCAGAATCGCCACAACAGTGCGCCAGATGTTTTTGATTCCCTTCTGACAATGGTAGCAGCTACCATTGATTGAGACTTACTCTGTGCCAGGTGCTGTAGAAAGACCTTTATGAGTATTAATTCAACTAATCCTCACAACAACCCTCTGAAATAAGTACATCATTATCCCATTTTACAGATGTATTCATCCAACAAGTATTTATTGGTTATCTTCTCTGTGCCGGAGAAGGTGGTAGAGATAGTGCAGTGAACAGCCCTGCCTCATGGATTTGACAGTCTAGTGGGGGAGGCACACAAGTAAGTAAAACATACAGTACATCAAATGGTGGTAAGTGCTATGGAGAAAATGCGAAGAGAGGAAGGAGAATTAAGAATGCTGGGAGTAGGGTGTAATTTTTAAGAGCCGGGGACAGTCTCACCGAGAATATGACATTTGATGGAGATAAGAGATCAAGCCATGCTAGTACCTGAAGTAAGAGTCTTCCATCCAGGCAGAGGGAAGAGCAAGTGCAAAGTCCCTGAGGCAGGAAATGTGCCTGGTGTGCTGGAGGAATACCAAAGCAGAGTTGTTGGCTGAATGGGTGGGTGGTTTTCAAAGTGTGCTTCCCCGGCCCTCCAAGAGCCGCAGTAACATTCACCTGGGAACTTAACAGAAATTAGAATTCCCAGGCCCACCCCAGGCTTGTTGAACCAGCAACTCTGAAGATGAGGCTCAGAAATCTGTTTTAACAAGACCTCTGGGGGATTCTAGACTACAGTTTGGGATAAAATGATAGGTGAGGAGCAGGGGACAAATCATGGAAGGGCTTTAAGGGCCAGTGTAAGGACTTTGACTCCAAGTGGTAGGAAACCTTTGAAAGCTTTTGAGCTGATATACTCCAACTTATGCTTTTAAAAGATCATTCTGGCTGCTATATAGGAAAGTGTAAAGGAGCAAGGCCAGGTGCAGGAAGACCACCTAGATCATTGATATTGTAGCAATCCAAGTGAGGGATTACCCTGGCATCTTATACGTAAGGAAACAAAAACACAGAGGGTGAGTACTTGTCCAAAGCCACACAGCTCAGAGGCCAAGGACAGGATTTGAACCTTAAGAAGCCTGACTATGGAGGGGCCTCCTCACACCCACCGCACGAACTGCCTCTAAGGGCCACCAGGCCAAGAAAGGAAATGAGCCCACATTCTCCAGTGGAACAGTGAGAGCCCACCACTTGGGCGTTCTTCAGATGAGTCCGATCGTGACGCAAAAGGAGCTTCCAGGGTTTCTTGGCCTAGAAGAAGTCCAGTCTCCATGTGCCCTGCCCTTGGAAACATCTCATGCAGCTGTCGCATCCCACACCCAACCCCCAACTCCCTGTGCTCCATTCAGCGAACGAACGACTGTGTCCTCGGAGATGGAAAGACCCAGTCCTTGCCTTAGGGAAAATAGCATCAGGACCGTGTGTTCTGCCTCGTTCCCCTTTCAATACCATATTGATCGATGTTCAAGGGACTAGACAGGAATTGAGGTCGAGTAAGTATTCAATTTAACTACAAATGACTATTACACAGAATGCTGGATAAATGTGGCTGTGTCCTATTTTCCATCATTTGAATTTCTTAATCCAGGGTAAATAACACAGATAGAACTAGAAAAGCGGAAGAAAACCACTGGAGGAGGGGGCTGACTTAACTGCAAACAGTTCCTCTAGTCTAGTCGGCCACAATAGGAGGCCTCCTTGCAAAAAGCTTTTGTAACTCTTAGCATGTCAGTTTCTCCGATCTGTTTCTCTCTGATCATGTCCTTTTGCAGATCTCTGCCTGGCTCTTTCTGCTTCCTGGAGGAGTTCGCTTCTGCCTCACAGCAGACTCTACACTGAGACATGTCTTCCTACCAGAAAAGAAGCTCCTATTCCAATAAACCAAGTCCATTGTCCTTGCTAAAAATCTGTCACAGATTCTAAGAGAGTTGCCTTTATGTGGATTTTTTTTTTTTGAAGAGTGAAAATGTGAGATTTCTTTTTTTCTGAAGGGAAGCTCAGTTGCTTTGTTACAAGACATATCCAACAAATAATGCTTTCATGAAGGGAGGTCCTTAAGGCCAAGACAATTGTCCTTCACAATTAAGAATAAGATTTACCATTTTTTAACAGTTTTCCCAAGGAAACGTGTTTAAAATAAAAATGTACTTGTTATGGGGCAGGCACCTGGGTGGCTCAGTTGGTTAAGTGTCTGACTTCAGCTCAGGTCATGATCTCATGGTTCGTGGGTTTGAGCCCCACATTGGGCTCAGTGCTGACAGCTCAGAGCCTGGAGCCTGCTTCTGATTCTGTGTCTCCCTCCAGCTCTGCCCCTCCCCAGCTCTGTCTCTCTGTCTCTCTCTCTCTCTCTCAAAAAGAAACATCAAAAAAAAATTTTTTAATGTACTTGTGTTTTGTTAATCTGGCATATGCTGCTAACTTTCCTGTCTTTAACAGTAGGCAAACCAGGTTACTGTTAGAAATGAAGCATGCCAGGAGGTGAGGAAGGGTTAACATTAGCAGCTCTTACCTACTCTGTAAGATAAAGAAGCATCTTTATGACTTACCTCAGAAATGACATAATGTTACTATAAACTATTTTTGGAGATTCTCTGTGCATAAGGAAAGGGTTTTTACTCCCACATTGAAGAGTATTAAAACCATTTCCCCTATCAAGGGTTTGAGGCTCATTTTACAAAGTCATTCATACTTACCTAAAAGAAACAGATTGAAAAACAGGTAACTTGTGTGTAACATTTTTTTTTTTTTTTGGTCATGGGACTTGTCCTGAGGTCCGGATAGTGACACTCAACAGCTCAAGTGACAGCTCTGCTCCACAGCGACTCTCCTCAATGACCCCAGACACATGCTGTCCTTTCCGTGCTCACAACTTTCCCTCACATTTTCTATTTCTTATGGACAAAAACAGTACATAGAGTATGTATAAGCTCTAAACAAGTCGCTGCTCTTCTCTCAGGATGAAATCTTGTTCTTACAGCTAAACTGTCCTTAAACTGGATTCAGTCTCTTTCCTCTGAGGTGGTTGGCCCTGTCCCCAGCAATGTGGATAACTGAACTCCTGATACCAATTAGCAGAACCATATTTGCTTACGATGCGGACGGCCCAAGTCTTGGGTTTTATCAAGTGTCACTTCCATCTTGGCCATCAGGTCTGAGCCTACAGGCCGTCCCCAGAGTCTGCCTTCTCCCCACACACTCTGTGCGGGTCTGCGGCTTCAGCTGGACCAGGTTCAGAAACACAAGGCCCCAGTGCGCCTTGGCTCCTTTGTCTTCCACCCAGTGTGTCCCCACCACCACCCAAAATCTCCCCCAACGTTCAGACTCAGCTAAAATCTCCACGTCCACTGCAGACGGAGCACTCTTCCTAAACCTCTTCAACATGCAATTCTCTACTGTAAGTCTTAGAGATTTCAAAAGCCACATCCACCTCTCTGCTGGGTCCCTGACCTCTGAAATCCTTCACCCTCTGCTCCTATCTTCAGCCCTCAGCCAGCACTCCCTTGGATCCTAGACTATCAGTTTGTGGGGGTTTTTTTGTTGTTGTTTGTTCTTTTTAATCTGAGAATTTAGAAATTGATGAAGAAAATAGATTGGGTCAGTGGTTTTTAAGCTTTCCCTTCTCAGACAAAATCATATACAGAATCCAACGTATAGATGAGAAAAAATCCAGTGTATAAACAGAAACGAAGCTATGGTGGTTGAAGTAGACAAAGTATCTGCCTCTCCTGACTTACCCCACTGCAGAAAGAAACAAAAAGCAAAACCTCATTATTAAGGTGCCTCTAAAAACCACCTGTGGGGCTCTGTGAAAACTCCATGTACCTTTCTGCTCAAGGCTAGGAAGCCACAATTAACTTGTCACTCCATACCAGTCTTTAGGAAATGTGAGGCCTCCTGGAGGTCGACTCAATAAAATGGAAGGTGCGAAGTGCTCACAAAACAAACTTACTTATGAGGATGATGATCAGTAGTCTGACAATTCCAAAGGCAGGGATCATTTCTCGAAAATTCTTGCAAAGAGATAAATAATAATTGTCATATTATAAGCTATCTATTGGTAAGTGAAACCCCAACTGTGCTCTCTCTTCGTCTACTTTTTTGTTTAAAATTTGAGTGTCCAGTATTTACAAAACAAAGCAATGTGGCAAGAGCCCAATTTTCAAATGCATTTGGGAAGCACAATGCCGGTGCACTTTGGAGAACAAAATGAAACATGATATTTAATTCTGTGGTATAAACTAGACATAACTGAATTAGCAACAAAGAATCTAAATATAAATAATATGAAATCAACACTTAACATGTCATAGAGAGAGGATAGAGAGATGCTGTCAAACTAAGTTTGATGAAATATGATTTTTTGGTTAATATTCATTCGATGCTTTATCCTCTTTCCAAATAGGGGTTAGCGAAGACTTAACTAAACTCTGAGTATTACGTTAGTTTTTTAAGATAATCTCCCCCAAATTTAAAATATTGGTTTAAAAAATAAAGTTTTGGAGACCCTGAGCCTGCTTTGGATTCTGTGCCTCCTTCTCTCTCTGCTCCTCCCCTGCTCATATTCTGTCTGTCTCTCTCTCTCTCTCTCTCAGAAATCTAAAAAAATAAATAAAAATAAATAAAATGGGGGCGCCTGGGTGGCTCAGCCAGTTAAGCATCCGACTTCCGCTCAGGTCATGATCTTGCAGTTTGTTAGGTTGAACCCCACGTTGGGCTCTGTGCTGACAGCTTGGAGCCTGGAGCCTGCTTCGGATTCTGTGTCTCCCTCTCTCTGTCCCTCCCATGCTCATGCGTTGTCTCTATCTCTCAATAATAAATAAACTCTATCTCTCAATAATAAATAAACATTAAAAAATATTATAAATAAATAAATAAAAGATAAAGTTTTAGCTTCGAAAAATCTGAATCCAGCTTACAGTACCCTCCTGTGTTACCAAAGAACTGCTGAGTCCATAGCTCCACTATAATTTATTGAGTTACATCTCCCTTCCCTTTCATGTTATTAACTCTCTTCCCAAAGGGTAAAGATACTGAAATACTCATGTTTATTCTAAATTAATTATTTTCGAACTGTCGTGGTCACAACCTACAGTAAGAAACAGTTTACATAAAAATCCCGGACACACATAAATCAAACAATGTTACATGTGATATGTACTGAAATTTTTTTTTTTTTATTTTTGTTTATTTTTTTTTTTCCAGGTAGGCTCCATGCGCAACATGGGCCTTGAACTCATGACCCGAAGATTAAGAGTTGCATTCTCTACCAACTGAGCCAGCCAGGTGCCCCTCTTTTTGTTTAATTTTTGGTCACAATCCCTTAAAGTATATTCAAACCACTAATGGGATTGCAATCCAAAATTTGAAAAACACTTTTCTAAATGACTTATATTTTTGGAATAGTTTTATAATTGCTTCATGGGTGCCTGGGTGGCTCACTCAGTTAAGCATCTGACTTCGGCTCAGGTCATGATCTCACGGTTCATGGGTTTGAGTCCCGCATCGGGCTCTGTGCTGACAGCTAGCTCAGAGCCTGGAGCCTGTTTTGGATTCTGTGTCTCCCTCTCGCTCTGACCTTCCCCTGCTCATGCTGTCTCTCTCTCACTCAGAAATAAAATTTAAAAAAACACACACACATTATAATTGCTTCATATTTTTCCTCCCAGAGTATTTTTAAAGTATACCTACATGATTAATGGGTTAACAACTAGTCAGGATTTAACAGTAGGCTGTTTTAAAAAGTAGTTAGCAGGGCACCTTGATCACTTAGTTGGCTGAGCATCTAACTCTTGATTTCAGCTCACGTCATGATCTCAGGGTTGTTGGATAGAGCCCTGCATTGGGCTCCATATTGAACATGAAGCCTGCTTAAGATTCTCTTTCTGCCTCTCTCCTTGTCCCCCTCTGCTCCCTCCCTGACCACACTCACTCTCTCTAAAAATAAAAAAGGGAGGGGTTGGCATACACATGTACTGTATCATGGAGTATAACATGGTTTGCCAACTCTGGAGGGCAATTTAGCATTTATCTATGGAAATGTAAAGGCTTTATCCAGTAAATCCACTTCTAGGAATTTATCCTAAAAAAAGTCACAAATACAAAGAGATAAATGTAAGAGAACATTCTTACAGCGTTATCTACAAGTGTGAAAAGCTGGAGTCACCTCAATTTTTTTTCACTGAACGATTAAACCAGGATTCAGCTATACAGTGTGCTGTATACTTGTACAATCTGTATGCACTTGAACAGATTGAAGTGGATTTCCGTGAGCCAAAATGGGGTCATGAGTAGATGGGGTCAAGATAATTTCTACCTTAAGATATATAACAATATCTTTAAGAGTGGATCCATTTTTATAGCCTTCATGTTGGCAGGATTTTGAATACATACAGATAAAGGTTTGGGGGCACCTGGGTGGCTCAGTCAGTTACACATCCGACTTCAGCTTAGGTCATGATCTCAAGGTTCATGAGATCAAGCCCCACTGTCAGGCTCTCTGCTATCAGCATGGAGCCCACTTTGGATCCTCTATCTCCCCATCTCCACCCCTCTCCAACCCCTCTCTCCAAAAGGGATATCTCTGAAAGCATGTATATGAAACCATTAACAGACTGTATTAGAGATTTTTGACTTTCTATTTTTCGATTATATTTTTTTTATTCATCACTTTGGAGATCGGGAAATAAAAATCAAGATGAAAGAAAAATTCTGGTGCTTAGAAGGAAGATGAATGTTCAGTAAATACTGATAAATGAAGATACCATGATTCCCAAATACCAGTTATGATTTAAAAGAAAAAAGTCCATAGATTCCATTCCCAAAGTTCTTACCACTAGAACATTCATAAAATAGCCTCCCATCAGAGCATAGACTCCTCCTGAAGCACCCACAAGATATCTGAGTGGGTCAA